TATGGATGTTTGCTTCAGATACCATGGAGTATCCCCTTCAGAAGGTAACAAAGAAATATATACCCAAAGCCAATACCTTTTTTGCATTTTCTGTTTGGGTTTTCAAAGCCATAATCTTTCGAACAAAGTCACATGTCTTCCAACCTCAAGACATGTACACTTTCAAAGCTCCTAGATGTTAAAACTCTAGAATTGGAAAAAGAAAAGAAAACCGAATTTCAGGGAGACATTATAATCTATCCTGTTCTTTGCTGTTATTTAACAATAATGTGTTGCTTGTGCAATACAATTATCCAGAGTCTGCATTCAAAGGGTTAAGATGCTCTTATTCATCTAAGTATTTGGCTCATTTTCCCCCCACAGGAATTTTAATTGTTTTTGTTTCCTTATTATTTCATTCTAGATTATAAGATGCCTTGGTGTCCCACTGGCAGAAAGGCAGGGTATAAACCGAAATAAAAAGTACTATAGTGCTATATAGAAGCATTAAAAATATGATAAGTCAACCTGCAATCCAAAGGGGAAAATGAACTCTAAGACCTCAGTGTCTTGCATTTGTAACAAGTTTCAAAACTGATAGTTCAAACTGCCCTTCACATAAGGAACAGAAATTAATTAAACTGAGGGAAAGCAAAGCACCCTGCACGCAATCTCCTCAAGCTTGTTTCATAGCAATACCATCTTCTTAGCTGTGTGGGGTCTTTGGTGTTCTCTGAGCTTGGTTGTTTTCTTACAATCAAGCTCAGAGAGCACCAAGGACCCCACAGTTCAACCCTGAACTACAAATAATGTCTTATATTGGTCTTAGCTGGGTATCACATATCTTCATCTGAACTGGTTCCTTGTTCCCCTTAAAATGCACTCAATAGCAGGCGTGCCAAGACTTTGTTTTGCACAATCATTATAATCTGTGCAGTGGTATAACTGACTGCACGTTTCTGAGTGACATATATGAAATTTACCATATGTATGTATCCTAGGAAACAATATATTCCCTGGGTTTCTGTGTCCTTATTAGATGACAATCTTTATAGTCCCAGATAATAAAGGAATGACAATTGGAAAGCTCTCACCTGCATAATATTAAATATTTTCTTGTGTTGTGTAGCACTTGCCCTTAAATGAGTGATGATTAATTGGTTTATTTTGTATGAAATAATATAGTTCCAAAATAATATTCTTCTATTAAATTTAGTGTAGTTTAGTTAATTGCTAAAAATCAAGATTGTGCAAAGTCATTCAAAAGCAAGAAATTGCTGACTTTGTAATATGATAGAACTGAAGGGAAGAAATTAGAACTGAACTGTGTATAATCATGCATATAATCATACATAGTATATAGTAATGATGGAAAGGGATCCCTGCAAATCTAACTCCAGTAGATGTTGCTAACTATAAGGGATGGCGCTCATCTATGTTTTGAGGCCATGACCAGCACTGTCAGAACACATTTTTGCGGTCATGTGGCCAGCATGATGTTGTAGAGCGCTGTTTTTCCCCACCATACCTATTTATCTATTTACATTTGCATGCTTTCAAACCACTAGGTGGGCAGAAGCTAGGAGAAGACAAGTGTTAACCTCACTGCGTGACGTTCAAGTTATAATCCTCACAATACTATAAGGATTATTATATATTGAAAGGTATGGCATGAGAACTGTTACTTCTATGTTCTACATTCCATGAGATGAACATGCATTAATTCTCTAGATATGGACAAAGCAGGACCTTGTCACCCATTAAGCAACTTACATTTGTCACATATACCAATGTTCTAAATTTCCACCAGTGTTAAGTATCATAGTTATAATATGGTACACAAAAGCTATGACTTTCTGACAATGTTTGTTTTCACTACCCATAACCCAGAGATCATATTTACGGCAGACATTTATGCTAGTACTTCAGTCTTCCCCAACTTAGTGTGTTCCAGATGCTGGCTCAAAAATCTAAGAATTGTAGTGTCAAAATATTTGGAAGAATCAGCTTTGGAAAATTGGGTCTGACATTGCCCTTCTTATATAATCAACATAGCATTGAGAGCAACTTGGGTTAACTCCAACTCTAACCTTAATCCAAAAGTCCATCCTCTTTGACGTAACCTCTGGTAATTTTGTTTTTAATTTCAAACTTTCTTAACCTACATTTCATAATTAAAAACAAATCCCAAAATGCTACCAAAGTCATCCTGTCTAATTACATTAGAAATTATGATAAAATATGATGTCAGTGTCACAGAGAAATAGCTATAGAAGACGACATTGTGGCAGAAATGTTATTAAACTAAATTATAGGACAATAAACTACAGAATAAAACTATTTTTAAAATGTAAAATTATACTGGCAAAATGCTGAACTGAGCAAGTGATGCTCTCAGTGGCCATCATGATCATTATTAACTGTAAAATTAATTAAAAGCCTGCATAACAGATATATACTGTACCATGCAGAAAATTTAAGTCTGCAATCCTATTATTTTTGCAGATTGAAAAATTCATAGGAATGGTGGTGGCAGCCATGAAATAAAGAGATGTCTGCTACTTGTAAGCAAGATTGTGATAGACATACACAAAATATTAAAATACACAATCTTAATATCAAGAAAAGTACACATTGTCAAGCCCATTTGTAAAATACAATTCAGAAAGCTGGACATTTTTTTAAAAAAAGCTGAAGAAAAATGTAAGTCCTTGAATTATGGAAAAACCTGCTGAGAACACCCTGTAAATGAGCATCATGGAACACAGATGACGTAAAACTAGTTTGTTCACGGAATGCCCTAAAAACAAAACTAAGGCTTATAATGGGAAGCAAGAGAAAACATCCTGATATCTGATAAAATTAAAGTCAATAAAAATGAGGTCAACAGAAGACAGTGGCTATGTATTATCACTGATAAAACAAGCATGGCCTTACAAGAATAGAAAGAAGCAGTTACTGAAGGACAATCCTAAAAAATGATGTCCTCCAACTCATAAAAGCAACTGAACAACCATGTCCTCCACTGAACTCAAATAAACACACCTCTGAGTAGCCCTGAACAGGATCACATTTGAGCCCAAAATTTCCATTACTAAGTAAGGCAGTTAAGTGAGTTTTGTCACAATCTTTTTTCACAATTGTTATACAAATAATGCAATTGTTAAGCAAATCTGGATTTCTCCATTGACTTTGCTTGTGGAAACCTGATTAGGTTACAAATGTGATCACATGACCCCGGGACAGTGGAACTGTCATAAATACATGCCATTTGCTAAGCACCCAAATTTTGACCACATGACCATGGGGATGCTACAATGGTTCCAAGGGTGAAAACTGGTTATAAGTCACTTTTTTCAGTGTCATAACTTTGAACAGTCACTAAAAGAATGCTTGCAAGTCAAGAACTACCTATAGTATTAAACTGTGTACGGAACAAATTGTATGCCGTTAATGCAGATTTACACATTTCAAAATCTCAAATCATGTCCAAATAAATATCTCTTCTATGCATTTTGTATATTAAAATTTACAAATGTTCAATGTTTTTTGTTCCACGAGTGCTGTTAAGCCACGATTGCTGTAACATCCGCTGTCTATGAATTCAGTAGATAGTAAATTATGGATTTTTCATTAAGCTGAAAAATCTATATTTGAGTTAGACTGTAGGAATTAACCCCTATTATTAATATTCATCCAAGAAATTGCTGCCTGTACATGAAGCTAGTTTGTTGAGGAAAAGATCAGTCTAGAATTTTTCTTTCTGACATCTAGATTAGTATAGTAAAATGCACTCAGTAGATAATGTCCACCCAGAACCACATTGTCTCAATGAAACTTAGTCCTCATCATTTTATATCTATAGATTAAAGGAATCTAACTGTAGCTGCTATCATCACATACTGAATTCTGAGTTAGCATTCATACTATCAGGATTATAGAAATAACTAATAAAAACAACTGTTGAAAGAGGCCAAACTTAAGAAGAGAAGGTTTAAATCTGAAGTTCTTGCAGATACGGAGCTGTAGGGTTTGCCAATGGAAGTTTTCATTGTTAAGTACTGAAACCAAAAATCAGCATAAGGTAACTTGCAAACTGTGGATTCCATTCAAAGAGAAGACTGTGAGAAATGGTAACTTGTCCAGGGCTGTTCCAGGATTAACCACAACCAGATTCGCTACAACCACTGCATATTGACAGCATTTCTGGCAAATGGTTTATCTCTTGGGCCATACAATAATCACCTATGTATGCAATAGGTATGAGTTATACATAGCAGCTAAAGCCTACTAAGGTTCTGGGTAGGAGACCTATGGATTTCTGGTCAATGAAGAATTACAATTCCCTTTGTTGGAGCCTTTGGAACTTGTAGTTGACAAACCATGGATCTTTGGAATCCACATTACAATGTTAATTCACAGGGGCCTAAAGGGTGTTTATAAAGAAAAACAAAACTTACGCCCAACATTTCATGCTTTGGACCACTTGTGCTTGAAGGACTACATTCTTAGTGACTCCGGGTCCGCTATCCTACAGCTTTTACCCAGTGCTTTTTTTGTAAAAAAAAAAAAAAAAAAAAAAAGGTGCCGGAACTCACACACATCATACAACCTGCCTTGCCTACCCTACAAGGTTCCATCCAAAAAAGGTGTCGTTCTGGGCGTTCTATGACAAAAAAAAAAAAAAAAAAAAAAGTCCTGCTTTTACCACCTCCCAATGATCCTTCAGACCTGGCCTGGGTAATCAACTCGGGTTCTCTAATCTTCAAGATCACGGAACTGCTCTGACTTGCACTCCCGACCCAGCTGGAAAGCGCATCCGTTTGTTCAGGGCTGTTCTCGCAAAACCGAGGTGCGCTCCATTCCCACCCTGAATACCAGCCTTGCCGTGCAGGAGGTGACCCGGGCTCCTCTCGCGGTAGCCCTTCCCCTCCGCTCAGGCAGCCCAAGACGGCACGAGCCGAGAGAGGGCGGCGGGGGCGGCCCCCAGCCCCCTCCCCCTTCCTTCCCCGGCCACTCACCTTGGGACTGTAGGGCCCCGGGATCAGCAGCTTGAGTGCCTGTCTCTTCAGCTCCACCAAGCGGGCGTTGCAGTTCTCACACCACACGCCGCGATCGGAGCCCGGGGAGGAGCCTCCTCCGCTGCCGGAACCGGGCGAGCCGGTGCCAAAGCCGGGTGAGCCCCCTAAAGAGCCCGGAGAGCTGGTGCCGATCCCCGGGGAAGCGGGGCCTGGAGAACCAGTGAAGGAGCCAGGCGAGGAGGTCCCCGACCCAGGCGAAGGGGTGCCCGAGGAGCCCACCACAGAGCCGGCTCCTTCTGGGGCGGGGCGGCTGCTGGACCGGGACTCCTCGTAAGCTTTCCTGTACCAGCTTTCCGGCGAGAAGGGCGCCGCGGGTTTGGTGGGAGAGCAGGAGTCGTTCACCTGAGCGGAGAAGGAAAGGGGAGCGGATTAAAAAAAAAAAAAAGGGGGGGGAGCGGACGAGCCAAGTACATCTATCGATTAATCAGACCCAGGACTAGCAATCACAATAACCCCAAGCAGGCGAAAACGCCCCACACTTCTCCCTTCTCTGATTTCCACTCAAGGAGACCTGGGGGGCGATTTTCCACAGAAAATGGGGAGCGGGGGGGTTGTCCTATGCATACACCTTCCCAAGGAGCCCAGATGAGTGATAACTCTCTTCCGATTCCTCCCCCCCCCCCCGGCCGCCCTTACTTCCTTCGCCCAAGTCAGGACTGACCGTAGCTCCCCTTGGAAGGAAAGGCATCCCGACGTATTGTGCAAACATCGCTACCCGAAAGGAGGTCTCGGGCAATGAAATGGAAGCCGGGGCTGCAAAAGTTCGCCACGGTCACCGGGAGTCTGCAGCTCCAGGGAAAGGAACCTGCCCAGATTTATTTCACGCAATTTTCTGATGACGGAGCAGACCTTGCCCGATTGATTATACCAACTGCACCTTGACTGGAAACATTCCGCTTAACAGGCTGCTTAAATCCGCTTGCAAGGCTGCGAGGCTACCCCTTTTGTGTTTAAAAAAAAAAACAAAAAAAAAAAAAACACAACCCAGACCGGTCTCAAGCATCCCTCGTATGCCCCGACTTGAGGACTAACTTACCCCGTATTTCCTGTTTCGGGTGGTGACTGCAATTCTCTCTTTATTCCCAGCCACCGAATTCATGATGATCTTTGTGCACGCGGGAGAATGCCTTGAAAATGTATATCCAATGGGGAATCTCCAAATCCAATAAAGGTTCACACCGGCTAAAATCAATTTGTGCGTAGGGGCTTTTTTCTTTTTTCCCCGTCCCCTTTCTCCCCCCAAAATCCTTGAGCCCCCCCAAAAGCCGGACCAGACCTCAGACCACCAGAATGAGGGTCCGCGAGAATGTCTTTGCTTCAGATCCCTTTTTTGTCTTCATTGTCTTCTATCTCGTTTAGCTTTCTTTGCGCAGAAATCCAAAGGGTCAGCGTTTTCCCTCCCCGATCGCCAACGCCAGTTGCCCCCGATAACCATTGCCATCCAAGGTAGATTTTAGGAAAGGCGTGAGGAGCGGAGAGCCTGGGTGTTGCTCGAAGCGGAGAGTGCTCCGCGATTTTTGTAGTGCGGTAACTTGTTTCCTTCGCCAGCGTTTGCAACGGAGTTAGAAGAAATCGTCCAAAAATCTCGGGATCCAGACTCTGGGAGGAGCCTCCGAGTTCCTTGCAGCCAATATCTTTCTGCCCATTTTTTGCCTGACAGTTTTGTAAAGGAAAAGGGAAAAGCAACTGGCTAGCTACGCAGCACGCCTGGAGCCGTGGAGGAGCTGTAAAGCAATGCCTTCAACGGCTGCCTTTGAAGGCTAGGCAAGCGAGGCCGGCGCGTAACTGCAGGCGGCTTCCTACTGTTGCTTGACCTAGAGAGATTGATTTCCAGCATCGCTCCGGTGGCATTGGGGATTTAAAACATGAAAAAAAAAAAAAACACCTCTTTAAGACGAGATGTCCTTGTCTCCATCAAAACAGCTGTGCATAGTTAATATTCGGAAGAGCTTCCTGAATAAGATTGTAGGTCTGAGTTCTGCATGTGCAAGCTTGAAAGAAGTAGGCAGTGACAATCTCTGGTCAAGGCTCTCTTTTATATGGTAGGGGATGCTATATTATTTTGGAAGTAGACAAAGAAGGTCACCAAAAATCTGAAATATGAGGCTTTGTCCCTTTTCTTTTACTCATCTGATCAAAGAATAATTTCCACAGGTTTTTCCCCCCAAACTATAAAAGACAACTGTGCATTTCTGCACAGTTTATTTATTTATTTATTTATGAGACTTATATACCGCTTTAAGTGCAAGCACTCTCTAAGCGGTGTACACCAGTAAGCAATGTGTGTCCTCATTTTACCTACCCCGGAAGGATGGAAGGCTGAGTCAACCCTGAGCCGGTGAGATTTGAACCACTGACCTGCTGAACACAGTCAGCTAAAGTGGCCTGCAGTTGGGTGAATATGCTGCTTCAATTAGGGCAGATTCCTATTTGGTTAAAAAGTATTTTTGAAACTGTTCATACATAACTTTCTCTCTCCCCACCCTTTCATAACCCCCTTTAACTGGAGAGGGGGGGAACCATTCTGTTATCAATGGCCATTTTGATGGCAAATGGATCCAGCTGGAGGCAAGCCCATCTAACCAAGATATCTTCAGATATTTTGCAATGCATTTTCTTTGTCCTGGATCCAGGTTATAATCAAGTATAATTTTGGCTGTGTGAACATTAGAGAGCCATGGATAAGAATATGCCTAGATACAGAGGGAGGGACGCCCTGCAACACACAGCATTTCTGCCTATGCAAACTTTCCCCTTATGTAGACCTTGGGTGAAATTCACATTCTATTATGTGCAATCATGAAAAAGAGAAAGACATTGTGTGAAAATTCAGAAGCCAAACAATGCTTGAAATTCTCAATTTATTTTCTCCAACAAATCTGCATGGAATTCTAATAGCCTTGGGTAAATGGGGATGATAAATTGGCTTCCAGCCTAACCTCTCCTGTTAAGATTGTGAAATATGTGGTGCATTTATTTTTTCCATACATCATCAAAGCCTTTAGGCCCACCTATGCATTCCAGTGACCACATGGAAAATATCTGAAATTGCTCCATCTGGCACCTGTTACAATATTAATGCTTAGCATTTATATCATTTTAGTTTTCAAAGCACTTCATGCACATTGTTTCAGTGAATGTTATGGGCAATCTGGTGCATTCCTTATGTTTTGGATGTGGGTCTCAATCCAACTTTCATTAGGTTAGATGAATGAAAGTCGATATCCAAAATATCTGAAAGACCCCCCACATTTCCTACAAGTAGTTTCAGAGAGGGTTTGCAAGCTGGCAAGATCATAATGAGCCATAGACTTTCTGCTTCAGCACTGGGACGCTTACTATTGCAGTAGATATCCCATGTTACCAGGTAGGCAGTTCTGAGGAATCAATTCACTAGGAACCAGGCTGATTTTTCCATGTAGAAAAAAATTGAATTTCTTTTGGCATATTTGAATGGGTATAGGACAAACAAAATCCACGATTTATTAAATGGTGGCCTAAATGTATAGAGCAATCTTAGCAAAAGATGACGGTTGTTCATTTCTGCATAAATATGTATTATATTGTAATAAGACATATAAGGATCAAACTGTTCCCTACACAAACGATTCAATCAGTCTCTCCCAAAATTTTAGTTAAATGTGGGAAATACATAGAGCAAATAAAAATTGTTATTCCTTAAAGTTAGAACTGTAGATGAAGTTGACAAGTAATAGGATGAAGACTGAGCAATGTCAATAACGTCTTCCTTCATTGCTACTGTGCGAGTGTGGCTGTGCTTATTCAGTTTTTATCAGTAGACAGTCGAAATTCCCGGACAGTACTGGATCTTTCAGAGATAATCAGTGTTATAGACTTACAGTATTTATACTCTTGATTTGGCTCCTTAGGCTGGCTTCTGCTTTAAGCAAAAAATAGACTCAAGTGGGCCTCGAGCTGTTCAGTTGTAATAATGTGAAGTGCAGCAACAGACATACACATTGTAATCCTTGAGCAGACAGGAGAGATTTTCTGTAGTTGATCCTAGAGCCAAAGCACCCTAGCTTAGTCATCATGTTGATTGCTGTGCAGGTTGCTCTAGAAGCCACCATCAAAATATGCCAGAAACTTTGTCTGCACATGTGCATACAGTAGGCCAAGCTGTAACCCTAACCCATAGAAAACCAGGAATGAGATTATATTTAAAAATAAAAGTTGACTTCTGAATTTGTGTGTTTATATGGCTATTCTGTTTATTTGAAATATTTATGTCCTGCCCACTTTATAGAACTTGTAGCAAATCAGAATCCATGAAAACAAGATGAATCCCTGAAGCAAGTTAATTAAAAAGATAGAATGATAAACACAGCCATAAATAGATATCTCTAATAGGCAAACAAGAGGCATGATCAGTCTGTGTGTAACTAAGTTCTGAATGTCAGTGTGAAAAACCAGTTTGTCATTTGGTTGTGAAAAGCGGGTAATATCTAGCCACCAAGAGAAGGTCTCTCTTACAACCCATATAGCATACATCTCCCAGCCTTTGGTTGGCCCTTTATCTGTCCTTCCTGGACCCTGTGAAAAGTGATTCTGAAATAGATCCAGAAAGGGGGTTGTGTTCACATTCAAACTGGAAGCATTGTGCCCTAAATTGTGTATATGAGCCACCTGTTGTGATTATGGCTCTGGTGCCCTGTTTGACTGTGCCTGATGTATATTTACACATCTTTTCAACATTTGAAAAGTAAGAGAATGCATGTCCTAACATAAGCATTTTGTTTAAAAAACACGAAGGCTCTCCAAAACCGTAAGAAATACCGAAGTACCAATATGTCTAATACAGTATAGCATTGCATGGTTTGCAGGGACCCATTGTGACCCTTAATCCCCATCTCCATCCCACAGAAGAATGTTAAATGTGCCCCTCAACATCCAAACATTGTCCAGTCCAGTAAGTGAGTTGGGCCGAATGCAGAATACAAGAGCATCCCCCAGTGGAGATTGAAGTATAACATTCAGTCAAGAGGCAAAAAGTGAGCTAAAAGGCAACTTATGACCACAATTGAGCCCAAAATTTATGCTGCTAAGTGAGAAGTGTGTTAAGTGAGCTTTGTCCCATTTTATGACTTTCCTTGCCCTGTTAAGTGAATCACTGCAGTTCTTAAATTAGTAACGTTGTTAGGTGAATCTGGTTTCCCCATTGACTTTGCTTGTCAGAAGGTTGCAAAAGATGATCTCATGACCCTGGGACACTGCAGCTGTCATAAATGTGAGTCAGTTGTCAAGCATCTGCATGTAAATCACGTGACCCTGGGGATGCTGCAATGGTCATAAGTGTGAAAAATGGTCATAAGTAACTTTTTTCAGTGCCATTGTAATTTTGAACAGTCATTAAATGAACTGTTGTAAGTCGAGAACTACCTGTATATCAGTTCACCTTCCTTTTACATCATCATTGCCCCTTCAATAATGGTCTGGAAAAATCTCCAAACACTAGAGCAGATTCTGGTTAAGTAGGACAATTTCTACAATCATTCCTTACGCTTCATGAAACTAGCAGTGAAACTCAACTCTTCAAAATGTCTCCTCCCCCTCTCCAAACGAAGAGACTCTTCCCTCCAATGATTTTGCTGATCCAGCCCATCCTTTTTCTTCTTGCTAGTAGTGGAGGTTGGGATAATATAATGTAAAAGGAGAAAAGCGAAGTTAGTGTTGTGGTCAGGGCCTCTTCTAGTGCAATCACTGAGGGGAAAAGGGGGGGCACGTGCCCTGTGTAGTATGGTATTATCGTCTTAATTGGCTTGGATCAGCACTTCTCATGAAGAACAGGCAGGCTTGCATTGTTCTTCATCAGCCCTTTAATTAGCACACAGTTAGATGCCCCTGCCAAGCTGCATCTGCTGTGTTAGGGATCGTCAGATTGTGTGCAATGGTATGCTTAGTCATGGGAGATTAGAGACATATGAGAATCAAAGGGGGGCAGGCAACAGATTGGCCAGCTTGCTTGTAAATTCCAATTTGCAGAGTAGTGCCTTGTTACACACCAGGAAGCATAAGAACAGTAACATCTTGCTGTCCGTTCCCCCTGAAAGTTTGCCGATAAGGAACAGTAAGGATTCATGATTCCAGTTCAAACATGGTCAATCAGGCAATATTTTACAGTTGGCTAATAAAGCATAAAGTAAAACCTATTTAAATACCAGGTAGATTCCATCGTTCAGAAAAGACAAATGCTTAAGGGGAATGAAGCATCTGTCTGTTTATATACACACACACATACATGTACACAAAGGCTCATGAAAACACCACCGAAAGATGAGATATTCTAAAAACCATTAATTATAAGAAATGTTAATTATAAGACTCCATTGGGTAAATTTTGCAAAATTCTGGGGGGTGTAGGGAACCAGGGTTTATCTAACTGAAAATTGTAAGATCATTTACCATCTGTTTACCTTAATAGGGAAAGCCAAATAAGAAGCTATAGTGACTGTATTCAGATTACCTTCAAGTGTCACATTACTTAATCGGTAGTATTCTAGCTGTCAGTTATGCCTAAAATGCACCATTTTAACCAATGTTTGAAACTTCTCTTGGATGGAGCTTTCCTTACATCTTTGTTGTAGCCTGTGACCAATTTGTTTCTATGCCAACAGCAGGCACAACAGGTAGTGTACTATACTAGATTAGAGAGCCTCTGTCTGATGATTTGTGATAATACTCTATTGACACTCCTTGAAGCTGCTTCCAATGGCAAAGTAATGTGCAAGCTAGATGTATATCAGGGCAAGAGTTCAGAAGTGGTGATAACATAACTTTAGTTTTCAGCCAATAGAACTACTTGAATAAGTTGTTTTTATTTGCGCAACCATTTTTTATCATTTTTTTTAAATCCAAGTCAGCTTTTTGATTTATTTTATTTATTAGATATTTATGCTGGCTTTATTACTTTATAACAGTGATAGCGAACCTTTTAGAGGCTGAGTGCCCAAACTGAAACCCAAAACTCACTTATGCATTGTCGGGTGCCGGGTAGGTGTGGCCTATTGGAT